GCGGCTGTGGAAAACCTAAGGATTCCCACCCGAACCCCTCTTCCCCCGTAGGAACTCCTACGTCCGGCTCCGACACCTGTGCACCAACACCTGGGTGCACAGCACCAACATCCCCATCGACAAGGAGGAGGAGAAGCCTGTGATGCTGAAGGTGAGGCCGAGGCCGGGGCCGGCGCCCCTCGGCCCCCCCCCGACGCAGGGCCCTTCTGGGGCCCCGGGGTCCCCGACACCCCTGAGTGCGATGCCAGCCCTCTGCCCAGGGACCCAGTAGAGCGAGCCCGGGCTTCTGAAATAGCCGGCACCTTTTGTTTTTTCCCGTGGCCTCTGCCCGAGAGGTCGAGCAATTGTCCGGGTTTCATGTGAGCCTGAGCGATGTTCTGGGCTGGGGGGTGGTTGCTTGTGCCCTCGGGTGCGTCAGATACTGGTTGATTTTCCCCAACCTTTATTTTCTCTTGTGTGGACTTCACCAGGTTTATTTAGTGATGGGGAGGTTATTGGGGTTCCTTCTTCTATTACGAACGTTTTCAGGTACATAGAAAAGTTGAGGGCCTGGTGCCGTGCCAGCCCTGTACCACTGTGACTTAGAGTCAGGAGTTGCCGCCTTGGACGTTTGCTTTCCCCGTGTATTTGTAAACGGGTCGCGAGTCGGCCGTGCTCCCCGTAACGGGCGGGACTGTCGGTGACGGGGGAGCCCCACTTCCTGCCGCCCTGTCCAGACACCACCGGTCTCTGGAGGCAGCGACGTAACGATGGGCGCTTTCTTCCGGATGTTTCCGTGTCTAGTTGGCTTTGTCTGCAGCGTAGCTCCCAGCTCTGTGCATTGCCCAGTGTCCCCTAAGCGCAGTGTTGACGTCGGCCCTCGGCCGCCAGGCTGCCCACAGACACCGCCCCGTGTTTCAGATCGGCACCTCGCCCGTCAAGGAAGACAAGGAGGCGTTTGCTATCGTGCCCGTCTCCCCCGCCGAGGTCCGGGACCTGGACTTCGCCAACGATGCCAGCAAGGTGCTGGGCTCCATAGCCGGGAAGCTGGAGAAGGGCACCATCACGCAGAACGAAAGGAGGTAGGGGCCCCGCGGGGACCAGACTTGCTCCCCGGCCGCTGCGGACCCTCCGGACCCCTGGCGGGGGGCGGGGAGAACAGCCGTGCGGGAGAGCACAGGTCTCAGCATTTGTGGGCGAATCAACTGTGGTTTTCAAGCAATCGTGTCGTTCGCTTTCACTTTTTTGAAAGTCTCTGAAATTGTAAAGATCCTATCGCTTCGTCTCTGGGACGAGCTTATGAAACGTTGGGGGTGGAGGCTCTTCTGAGATAAAATGTGATGACTGATAGTTTGCGAAGGTGGTGATCCTTCCGGGGACCCTGACGTGTCATCTACAGGGTGTCCCCCAAATACGTGCACACACTTTGAATGATTGTGAACTCAGTGGTGATCAACACACAGCTCATTTTCAACGTTTAAAAGAACCTGCAGGAATGAATAATTTTTTGTCGACGCCTGTTTTCAGACTGATGCCCGTTGTGGCCCAGGCCCTGCTGGTAACGAGCAGCAGTGGAATCGCCAGCGTCAGGAATCATTTCGTTCGGTGTCTGTGCCCTCGATTCATCGGCTGTTGCCCATTTTGCACAGTCAATTTTATCTTTTCTGTGTCCCCATAAAACAAGTCCAGTGACACTTTAAGGATGAATTTTCTTTGTTCAAAGCTTAGTCTGGTTTCACCGATTAATTCAAATCAGTTAAACCTGAAGAGGAGTCAGAATTAAGTGAGTGATCAGCTGTCAAGATGTGTATACATTTGGGGGGCACCCTGCCTGTGTCACTCTGATTGGTAATTGGCTCGTTGTCAGTTCTGAGGTCTTGGGTGAATGGGTCTCCTTTTGTGGAACTGGTGCCTTGGGCCTGAGACCCCGCGGGCAGCGTCCTACCTGTTGGACACTGAGCCCCTCCAGTGTGTAACAGCCTCTTTGCCCCCAAGGTCGGTCACCAAGCTGCTCGAGGACTTGGTTTACTTTGTCACCGGTGGGACCAACTCCGGTCAGGATGTGCTCGAAGTGGTCTTCTCCAAGCCCAACCGCGAGCGGCAGAAGCTGATGCGGGAGCAGAATATCCTCAAGCAGGTGGGTGAGCAGTGGCAGGTGGGGCTGGCGTCGCGAGAAGTCGGAATCAACAGGTGCCCAGTCCCCGTGGGCGGAGCGATGCGGCGTCAGAGGGTTGCTGTGTTTGGACAGAGACTTTCCTGGGCTGTCCAGCCAACCTTGAGGTTTTATTAGCTGCAGACGGAGGGTCCGCCGTGAGACACTGGGCGGTGACAGTTCTCCTCTCTTTTTTTGCAAACAGATCTTCAAGCTGCTGCAGGCCCCGTTCACGGACTGCGGCGACGGCCCGATGCTGCGGCTGGAGGAGCTGGGGGACCAGCGGCACGCCCCGTTCAGGCACATCTGCCGGCTCTGCTACCGGGTGCTCAGGCACTCCCAGCAGGACTACCGGAAGAACCAGGTGCCTGCCGGCGGGTCCTCGCCGCGCTCGGAGACGGCCTGCGGGTTCCGGGAGCCGGGAAGGGCGGAGCACAGCTCACTGTTAGGTTTGCTCCTAGGGAGGAAGTGGAGTTTAGCAGCTGCGGAAGGTGTAGCACTGAGTTCTTCAGCAGGAAGCCTGAGGCTTCCCCTCGCGGGCACCTTGCCGTGAGGTTTTCTTTTTTCACGTTGGTGGCACATCTTTAGTTTTTACGGAGCGTTGCCTTAAGGCTTGGGGACATGATTCTGTGTTTGTACTGAAGGTGCCGGACAAAGGGATGCTTCATGTCTGGGTGGACGGAGCCGAGGTTTCAGCCCGCTGCTTGGAATGACGCACAACTTAAAACCTACCAACTGTTTATTTCTGAAACTTTCCATTTAATATATTTGGACTGTGGTTGGCCCTGGGCAACTGAAACTTGGGAAAGTGGAGTCTTGGATACGGGGGGGACACTGCACCGCAGAACAATGCTTTTACCACTTTGACTCTGAAAGGCTTTAGTTCTTAAGCTCCAACTGCCCTCTGTCTGGCTTTTGAGTTCGAACTCCTCTCTGTAGTTTAATTTTTTTTTTTTTGTCATAAAGACGGTGTGGATCTTAAGTGAAGATCCAAAGTGTTAGATAAACCTCGTTAGCAAGTGTTTCTAAACCGCTGACTTTGCTGTTGTCTAAACGTGAAGCCCCGTGTTCCGTGGGTGCCGTGTGCATCGGCCGGACAGGTGACCGCTGGGTCCTGGGAGTGCTCCAGGCTGTCCCCCCAGCTTTACCGCTGCTCCAGGGTGTGCCAGAGGGTTTATTCCGCTCCATCTGCCCTGCTCCTGTGAGTCCCAGGGCATCATGCCCGCTCAGAGGAGACGGACTGACCCCGCCCGTGCATGGAGCCCTTGGCCTGGTGGTCGCGTGCGGGATATGGTGGTAATTTGTCCTTAAGGCCGGTCAGCTCCCAACCCGCATCCTGATTGCATGTGGGTGGAAAAGTGGCCCCTGTCCACCTTGTTTGTCCTGCACACTTTCCAGGATTTTGAAATTAATTTTAAAAAAAGAGGGGGCCACTAGAGCTTGGAGGCAACACGTCGTTTGTCTGGAGCAGGGAGATAGGTTTGAATAGAAACTAATGTTTGTCAGAGGTCTCTGTGGGTTTGCAAGTATTTCATGGAATGTGACGTCTGAGCCCCAAAGAGAGATGTCCTTACTGACTTTAAACATGTGTTTGCACCCCAGATAAGGATAAGAGTGGGTACCATTGTTCTAAAAACGTGTCTTCTCTGGTATAGAGCAGTGAGGCACAGCTGACTCTTCTTGAATTAGGAGTAAAACCAGAGCTGAAAACAGCTTTTGACCTTTTAGAAAATTCACAACAGTAAAGTGTATGCTGCACATGTGATAAAAGGCCCGTTGCAGACACGGGGCATTTTGCTGAATTACTTTGATGGGGCAGGTTGAGTGGAGCTGGGCTGAGGGGTGAGTTGCCCTGGGTGCAGCTGTGGGGAGGGGTCCCTGGGGACGTCCCCAGGGGCAGACGTTCTGCTGGGATGCCGCGAGCTCCCGACCTTCAGCTCACCTGGGCCTCCCCCCCCCCAGGAGTACATCGCCAAGCAGTTCGGCTTCATGCAGAAGCAGATCGGCTACGACGTGCTGGCCGAGGACACCATCACCGCCCTGCTGCACAACAACCGGAAGCTGCTGGAGAAGCACATCACGGCGGCCGAGATCGACACCTTCGTCAGCCTGGTGCGGAAGAACCGGGAGCCCAGGTGAGGGCTCCTGCGGGGTCGCGGTGCGTTTCCCGGAGTTCCTTTGTCAGGGGCCCGCCCGTGTGACCCGGCAGGTGTTCAGAGGGACCTGGATGAGCCGTGCTGAGAGCGTGGTCCTGGGGCGAGACCTGGGGCGGATCTGAGCTCTGACTCCGGCAAGCTGGGTGACCCTGGCTTTCCCTCTGAGTTTGAATTTCCTCCCCTGCTAACTGGGTAACTGAAAATTCAATGAGCATAACACGTGAAGCACCTGGCCCTGAGCAGGTGCTCAGTAATGGCCATGGCTGTGGCCTGTCACTTACTCTTCAGCACCCGATTATCGGTCAGAGCACCCGCCCCAAGTCGCATTCGTGAGTCTTTTGCCAGCTTGGTTGTCCCTTGAGTGTCTCTAGTATGAACTGTTGCTTGTGTAGAACCCGCACAGCCTCCCTCACACCGACCGCCCTCCCCACGCTCCTCCCTCTCCTGGTTGAGACCCACACCACCAGCGATCGTGGAAGAGTGCACAGCGTGGGCGTCACACACAGTCAGCCTGCACACCTGATTGTGTTTTTGGAAAAACGACTCCTCCCACCCATAAAAATGACATTTTATGGAGCATTCTCACCTGGCAGGGAGAGAGCCAAGTGAGCGTCCCACACGAATTACCTCATTGACTCCTCGGAACAGCCCTCGGAGGTTACGCTTCCCTGCGGATGGGAACCGAGGCTCAGAGAGGCTGAGCGATTCCCCCGGTGACAGCACAAACGAGGGCGTGGCTGGTGAGGGTCACGCTGGGGCTGCCGCTCAGCAGTCGGGCCTCGGAGCCTCCCCCACTCCGGGTACCGCTCCTTCCTTCCTTCTCTGGTGGCACAGTGAACACTGGTACCCAGACCTGAAATGTCACCTTTTACAGAGGGTCAGGCTCTGAGCGCCACACCTGGCTCTGTGTACAGGTCACGCCTTGTTCGGTTTCTCTCTCCGGTAGGTTCCTAGATTACCTGTCCGACCTCTGCGTGTCCATGAACAAGTCCATCCCGGTGACCCAGGAGCTGATATGCAAAGCTGTGCTGAACCCAGCCAACGGCGACATCCTCATCGAGACCAAGTGAGTGGGGCCGGGCTCCAGGCAGAGGGGAGGAAGGGATGGTGAGGGCAGGTGTGTGGTTCGATGGGTGTCTGCACTTGTGAGTGAGAAAACCGAACCCACAGCTTCTATAGACTTGGCCTGGAGTCAGGCCAGCCGGTGCCCGAGCGTCCCTTTGCGGAGGCCTTGGTCGGGGCCTTCAGTGAGCTTCGGTGTGGCCACCTGTGCACGAGGCGCCTCTTTATGTGCTGGTTTCAAAGTAACTCGAGCTCACCTGGGAGCATTTGACACGCACCTGGTTTAATTTTAAGAGTTGAAAGTTCTCTAAGTAAAATCATTTATTTTGAATGTTAAAGGCAGTATTAATTCAGTGTTGGAAAAAAGTTTTTAAGTGATCACTGTTCAAAAAGTGTTTACTGGTCCATTGCAGTTTTGGTTAATAGCAGCGATTTAATTTTAGGAAGGGAACGGCTTTCCCAAGAAGCATAGGGCCAGTAATACGGACAATGTTTTTTAAAAAAAAAATCCAAAAACTAAATGATGCCTTAAACTAGTGATGTTTTTTGTTTCTCACGCATAACTTAATTTGGGTTTGGGCTGCGGCGGGGTTTGTCAACCTTGGCATTTTCAGGTCCGAGGCTGAATGATTACGGGACGGTCCTGTGCACTGCGGGACGTTGGCGGGATCCGGGCCTTGCTGTGGTTGGTCAGATCAGCAAGGATTCCGAAACAACGCGTTTCCCCGCCCGTTTCGCTTCCCAGGCTGGTTCTGTCTCGGTTCGAGTTCGAGGGGGTCTCCTCCGGGGAGAATGCCCTGGAAGCCGGCGAAGACGAGGAGGAGGTGTGGTTGTTCTGGAGAGACAGCGGCAAGGAGATCCGCAGCAAGAGCGTGCGGGAGCTGGCGCAGGACGCGAAGGAAGGGCAGAAGGAGGACCGCGACGTGCTCAGCTACTACCGGTGAGGGCGCGGCCGGGCCCAAAGGGCGGCGCCGGGGCGTTTGTGCCCGGCTTGTGATGACGCCAAGCAATCGCAAGGTGTCTTCGGGTTGTCCAGCAAAAAGACGGATGTGTACCTGAGATGTTTAGTGGGAACATTTACTGGGACTATTTCACCGACTCAGGCTGTACATTGGTATCTGGGTGTGGCCAGGTCAGAAGAACGGCGGGAACTGGAGTCACCAGGTGCAGGTCCTTATGACCAGCCTGCACGTGCCTTTTGTAGTAGCAGTTTAGGGGGTGTTGTCCTGTAAGTCCAGGTGACCACCTGTTGCTCCTGTGATACCCGGAGCCAGCCGGCCCATCCTGCGTGGGTTCTGCTCATCCACAATGATTCCGGAGCATGAGCTCTGTGTCATTTCCTTCCTTCCAGGTACCAGCTGAACCTCTTTGCCAGGATGTGTCTCGACCGCCAGTACCTGGCCATCAACGAGATATCGGGCCAGCTGGACGTGGACCTGATCCTGCGCTGCATGTCGGACGAGAACCTGCCCTACGACCTGCGGGCCTCCTTCTGCCGGCTCATGCTGCACATGCACGTGGACCGGGACCCCCAGGAGCAGGTCACGCCTGTCAAATACGCCCGCCTCTGGTCGGAGATCCCGTCCGAGATCGCCATCGACGAGTGAGCCGCCCCTCCGCGCCGTGTCCCTGTCAAGACGCGTGGCCTCTTAAACCATGTTTATGCTGTTCTGTGGGACAAACCACATGTGGTCCAGCTAAGTCTAGTCAACCACAGACAACAGATGTGAAGTTATTTTTTCTAAGATTAATATAAAATGGATGGCAAAGAGCCCTGACCTGTGTGGCTCAGTGGTTGGAGCATCTGCCAGGCACCAAAGGGTTGCGGGTTCGATTACAGGTCAAGGGCCTGCACCTGGGTTGCAGGTTCAGTCCCCGGCCCGTGTTGGGGCTGGTGTGGGAAGCAACCAATCGATGTGTCTCTTTCACATCAATATTTCTCTCTCTTTCCTCCTCTCTCCCTCCTTCCACTCTCTCTAAAAAGCACGCTAGTGGGGGAAGACAGATGCTGAATAGTACAAATGGCTAAGATTTAGACCTGGGTGATATGGGATAAGGGGGGGAAATAAAG